TATGATATGGTTCATGGGGTCACGAAGAGTCAGACACGACTTAATGACTGAACAACAAATATCCTTTATTATATAATTTTTATAATCATGTCAGTTGTGGTTCATTGATCTCCATTATGGTTTTATTTATTTTAATGGCTTTTTGCTGTTAGTGTTTTGGTTACTTATTTGTATTTGCTTCTTGTTATTTTTCACTCTGTGAGCCGGCCCACAGTGATGTATGTGAGATGAGTGGGTATATAAATTGAACAAATAAATTGAACAAATAAAATAAGGAAACCACAGCTCTGCATTAAATAGCCCATCTGCTGTATTGCATGTATACAGCACACAGTCCAACAAATAGGCCCTCTATCTCCTTAACAATAGAGGAACATACCATTTCTTTTTTCTCTACCTCTCCCCTTTAGGTAACTGCATTTTGTGATGTGGATAAAAATAAAATCACTAAAGGATTTTACACGTATGAAGATGCTAAGGTTGGTAATACTTTTGGTTTAACTATCATTATTTGTGCAAACAATGTTTTTATCATTATGGGGGCATAGTGCACACAAAGCTGCACAAACTTTTAATATATTGGAGTTGAACTTATATGAGGAATTACACATTCCTAATGGAAATATATTTCAATCAGAAATATAACTGCTATATAAACTGGAATTAAATATGCCAAATTCAGGGTGTATTATTAAATACAGGGTTCTTCAGTGGAATCTCCTTATATTTTACAAGCTGTCCTTTTGGGCCCAGGAAATATTTACCTTTAAATAAACAGAAGTTTGTATTCTATTGAATAGTAATTCTCAACCCCATGAGCCTCCAGAAGTGAGTCAGATTCAGAAAACTACCAGGTGATCAGAATATATTTTATACCACATTTTATACAGCATGTCTTTATGCCAATGGATAGTTCATCTTTGTAATATAAAAATTGGTTTGAGGTTAACAATTGGCTTAATGCAATTTACTGCATAGGTTCACAAAAATCCCTGTGATTTTGGTATGGCACCAAATGAGTTGACCATAGAAGGTTTTGGCCACTAGCTGGCACTCTTTATTCTCCTTATAAACAACTATCATCGTGAATGAAAGTAAATAAAACAGAAGAGAAAGGAGTCTTCAGAACAAATGAAAAACAAAACTCAAATTTCAAAATAGAACATTAGCTACTTGGAAATTCCATCCTACTATTTTTCTTTTTCCTTTCTCCCCCAAAAAGTGTCTGTGTGGTGGAATATAACAATGTACAATGAATACAATAGAATAGAATGGAACCGGGCATTGTAAATTAGATTCTCCTATACTAAGAAAATATGTCAATAAAAAAAGTGATGCCCCAGAGACTAAAGTCTGAATCCTGCTCCTGCTGACTCACTTGCTGCTCACTTATGAGAGTCTAGGCCTATGATCCTATTCAGAGGCCAAAGGAACATTAAAGGAAATTGGGTTGCCACTGGATTTGAGAAATAGTGTAGAGTGGGGATGAAAGGAGTTCTAAAAGAGGTGTTGTGAAGCAAGGGAATTTCTTCACGGAAGCCCGTCTCCTGATCTTAGGCAGTTAGGAGACAATATCACAGGAACAGAAAGAAAGCAGACGATCTTTTCCTTTCACTTGTCTTTTCTAGAGACAAAACAGGGAAAAGGATTACCTTCTGAGTCCAAGCCATGCATTGATCAAGTTAGTATTTTTGCATCTACACACACACGCACACACACACGCACACACACCCCAGATGCAATTTCCAAACTAGGTATTTTGCAACAAGAGAGTGATATATAAGCCACGGGGGGAAAAAAAAGACAAGGAAGCAGTATAAAGGAAAATTTGCAACCGCAGAATGAAGACTATTTCAGAAACTATGCTATTTGTTGTCATAAGCTCGAAGGGACAGCTATAGTATATCAACTGACCAAGAAATATGCTGATCTCTATTCAGGAAACTTCCAAACCCAGAATTCCAATTCTGCATTTCAAAGAAGCTTCCCCACCTTTAATTATTTGTGTGAAATTGGTGAGTATAATTTTGAGTTTAAACCAAGTATGTGAAATCTACACTTTTTTCCCATTTGTAATAAAGCATATTTTAAATGATTATTTAGACCATGGCTTTTCTCATCCAAGATTAGAACAATTTTTCAAAGAAAGGAATGAAATTTGGGCTGATTTGGGGGTGGCCAGACACACACCAATCTTCTTGGTGATTTGGCCTACCCTCAGCCTTGTGTTAAAATTGTGTTCACTGAAGTCAAAACACACAGTAGAGTTTTAATGTATGTAATTGTGTAATGATTTATTTAAAACTGCATCTATCAATGCATATTAAAAATTCTGACTCATTCATTATATATATTCAAGGTATTTTCAAGGTGTTTGGTGCTCACTTTAGCAAAGAACCCATGATTCCAGGTTTTGTTTCCTAACCATGCTAGCTCTTGCTCTATATTAAAATGAACCCAGAGGATCAAGCTTATTTTAATACATTCCTGATCTTTATGAAGAGATGTATCGAGTTTCTACATATGTTAAAGATGCTAAAAAAGAAAATGTCCAAGTCAGAAAAAGATTGACTAAATGTGTGATTTAACCTGTGCTGTTTCTTTTTGTGGAATCAAAATTGGATATGATTATGTGGACGAATTAATCAAGCACATGGTATCTTCATTTTCTTTTCAGTTACTTATCTAACTAGAAACACTTTCGTTATTTCACTGCATGTATGTCAGAGAGAATAATCTTTTCTGCTCTGCCTAAGCCATTCTTCTATCTGGAGCTGAAAGACAGGGCTCTTTTCACCAACAGAAGAAATCAGTATGAAGTCTGGCCAGGCTGTGCCTCAACACTAATTATAAATAGGGTTGACTCCTGGATATTGTACCTACAAGAGATGAATGTATTTTTCAACTGATTTTGGCAAACATAATTTCACCAACTCTAGGAATAGACAGGGAACAGATGGCATCAAAATGACTCTCTTCCACTGAGATCTGATGCCATGTCAGATAGGAAATGTTTTAGGCAAGTCGCTGTCCCAAGCGTTGGTTCCTCTCCCTCAGTAGTTCTGGGGTAACGCTGACCTGGTTTCCAGGGTTGTTTAGGATAATGTAAGTGTATGTGGTGTATTTTGCATTCTTAAAATACTGTATCAGTGTTAAGTAATGCAATTAATTACAAAATATACTTGAATGAATAACTAAAAAGGAAGAAGGCAAATATTGGTTCCCAAAGCCTGAATTGATTCACAGGATAGGATTCTTTTAGTATCCTATCAGGCTTCTCCTCTCCAGCCATACCCCAGTTTCAATTATTTCTTTTAAAAAATACCAATTTCTTCTCACTGTCATATATATTGGGCATAAAATACTGTCTTTTGTCTATTGTAAAGTTGCTTTGTAATATCAGTAGTGTAATAATAACCCCCCTCTCCATATATAGAACTTAGTTAAATTTCTGAAGTACTAAGAGTTTTTTTTTTTTTTCCATTCCCTTCCACACCCCATTCAGAAACACTCCAGCACAGCTACATGACATGCCAGCTGGAAGTGTGTCCTTTTATTTGCCCTCCATTTTCACTTTGCATATACTGTTTCATGCAAAATTGAGATAGATGATAGACAGACAGACAGACAGCTCTTTTCACCAGTTCTCTACTATCAAGTAAAACTGACTGTGCTTTCTAATGATTGGCTAAGTCATTTCATTGCAAGCCAGATGGTATGGGAAATGTTTTCTAAATTAGTTAAAACTTGTTCAAAGGAATTGAACTTTTAATATGATGATATTATACAGACTAAGGATACCAATTCCAACTGAGATGTATTTCAGGGCCTCTGGAATTTTTGTTTCTGCAGAGGACACAAATGAAGATGAAAAACAAATCTACTTTGTTGCAGGGTATTTAATTTCCTTCAGATATGAAATCCCACTTCCCCTCTAGTCTGTGCTAAAAGTTTTGAAGGAGATGAAAGGAGATGAATTGTATGAAACCCAGCAGATGAATGACAATAATGAGGGATGCAGGAAGATGGTGAGGAAGAAAATACCTTGTAGGCAGCCTACAAGTGATAAATAGGACGATGTTTCAAAACTATGTCCCATTTCAGATCCACAATTCAAGAAACATCCTAACAAAGAGGAATTCAAAAAATTATGAAAAAAAGAGCACAAACAATTTAGAATGCTTGTTTTTGCCATAGCCCTAAAAAAAGAAGAACCACCTGCCCACCTGCACTTATAGCTTCTCTATTTTTAGCATTAGTATCTGTTCTCTAGCTAGTTATTATATTGGTGAATGCCAGAAATAGGATATTCTCAATGATAGCCCTTCATTTATAGAATTGACTTCTTCCCCTCAGGCTCATGTGGTTTCATCATTAATAGTTGTTTTAAAACACCTTTCATCTACACGGTATCACCTTAATGGTTATTTTAGATTTGCATTGATTTATTTATTGCTAATGCAATATCTTATAAGGAATTTTAGAATAAGACTTAGTTAAGTTTGCTAATAAAAATAAAAGAAGACCAGGACATGCAAATAAAAGGCATCAGTAATAAACTTCTAGAATAAAAAATAAATAAGAAAGCAATTTCTATGTATTTAAAACTGACAGAAAGCAGAGGCAGGAAAAGAATTGTTCACTGAATTCCTTGAGGATCATGTGAGAACATGTGGATTTAAATTACAGGAAGGCAGGTTTAATGTTAGGAAATGAAATGTAAGAGAACAAGTTATGTGGGGATGTTGTGCAATCTCCTTTTCTTCTTGGTGTTCTTAAAGTAAAATGCTAAACAGGTATTAGCAAGGGTTCCTTTCCATATTGTAGCAGGACTTGGATGGAGGTGGTGCACCCCTCCTTGTCCAGTTAGATCTTTAAATAGCATTTGATACCATCAACCATGGTATCCTTTTGGATAACCTCTGAAGATGGGGAACTGAGGGCACTGTTCTGCAATGGTTCCACTCCTTCCTGACTGGTCAGTTGTAATCACTCTTTCATCAGAAAAGTTGAGTCTTTGGACCCTTCAATGTGGCATGCCCTAGAGCTTGATCTTTTCCCCATTCCCCAATTCAAGATGCCAGTTATCATCTGTAAAATGAATTATGGCTCAGGTCCCCATTTCCTTCAGAACTATAAGATGTAAAAGATATTGAAACTACTGTTAACATTAAGACTCCATTCCCACAACACATTCAATCTGGTCAGCCATTCTGTGATCATGTTAACTGAATCAGATGTCACCATTTTAGGAACACAGAGTCCTTGCTTACTTTCTCTAAGAAGTGCCTGGTGTCCTTTGCACCCTTGCAGAAGGGCAAGCCATCATTACATCACCAGTCCCTCCACTGCCAGTCACACAGGCAGCAGTAGGAGTGGAAGGGGATGGAAAATAAGTGAAGGAAGGAAAGCATTTTTGTTCCTGGTCGCAGTTCCTTGAAGAATGTTCAACTGTCGTTCATTTTGGCCACTTGTGCTAGTAACCGCCCAAGCAGTCCCTCCCCTTTACCTCTAACCACTTTGCCATTCCCATCCAACCACAGCTCCTATTCCAGACAGAGGGAGAAGACAAGCAGCCAGTGGAAATGCTTGATTGTCTTGTCTGTCAGTCCACTCTCCGCAAAACAATCCCCCAAAAGAAAAAGATACAATAATTGCAAGGAAAACAAAGCATTTATGAGGGAGAAAAGCAAAGGCAGAGGACTGAGCAATCCCCAACTACAACAAGCTTCAGAAAGGTAGCCAAGAAGGAGGAACAAGTTAATAGTTACTTTCCTTTTGATTTCATGGAGTGTCTGCAAGTAGGTTCAGTTGCTCCTGTAGCCAATGTATATTAGGGAGGGTGGTTCAGTAGCTACCAGGACTCCAGAATGACAACTTGGGTTTTTCCAACTTCTCATTTCCTTCTGCAACACCTTTTGGAGGACTATGTAGGCAAAAACTGGGTTTTAGTGTTCGCATGATATGACTGACTAGGTTGAATTAATTTAATTGCATGTGATGGGTCTCTGTAGGCTACATCAACCCTAGAGGGGTGAGGTGGGGACATAACTCTTGCTTATCTGATTGTCGCTTAGTAAGAAATGTGTGAATAGAAATAAGTTAATGCAGTCCACTGAGATGAATGAAAATAGTAAAACTGTATAATGGTTCTATTAAGAATATGTACCTGCGCTTGCAAACTCCAGGATTGAGTTCAATGTTAAATTGAACTTGTTCTGTTGAGGTTGTTAAATATGGTTTTGTGGTGAGTGTGGGTTGCTGTTTACATGTTTCTGCTAATTATATGGAGTCTCTCGTTGCCATAGAGCAATCACCCTTATGAAAGTGCAGCTCACAAGGACAGTCTGAAGGATATGATGCCATCTTGGATGACCTAAAGCCAAGCTGGAACGCAGGAAGTAGCTCACTAAATTGTAAAATCTAAAATTGGAGTGGAGACTTCAGTAAGAGCACGGCTTTGAGGAGTCTGACTAAAACAAGCTGTCCTGTGCTTTGGCTGCTCGGCAAAATCCATCACCCCTTTCAGGAATCATTGACCTATCCTAGAAAATGTGCCTGAAAGCAGGAGATAGGCTTTCTTTAGCTAATGCGGTTGGAAGGGTTGGCTATTTGTTTTGGAAACACTTTAAACCTTTGGGTAGACCAGTCACCAACTGTGCAGCACACCTTCCATCCTGCAAGTTAGCTTGTTCTGGCATTCTCTTAAAAGTCCTACTGGTAAGAAAAAATAACTGCTCAGTGTGTTCTTACTGGGTGTTTCAATAAAAATATACAGCATATGAGGAAAAAGGTATCAGCTAGTCAAGGAAAGAATGTTGCTCTCCATATTTCATTGTTTAGATTTCTGTAAAGCCTTGAGAAGAAAAGAAATCATCTGCAGTTGAAAATTTTTAATCCGGTGTAACTTTGCCCAACCACTGAGTTTTAATATCCTTTGTATTGCTTGTATTCAGGAAGAGAAATACACACTTCCTGACTAACCATTATATTCATTTCTTTGTCCATGCAGTTGAACATACTTTACATATTGCTATTCATATCCCAGGTTTCTGCAGTTAGATTAGAGGTTCCAGAACTTAACCTGGGTTCAGTTTTCTTTGAAAGAGGTTACTGGAGGCTAATCATGTTTTAAAACACTTGCATTCATTAACAAATGAACTGATAGGTGGCATATATTTTACCCCAAAGGTCTTCCAGTTATGCCAGAGCTCAGTTTAGCTTCCTGACTTACTATCTGCCTGTTTTTACATCATTTCCTTTCTTCCTTTACAATTAGAGGCTTTGCTAGCAAGAGTGAGAAATCCCTTGTTCAAGCTTTAGTGCAATTATGAGTTCTCTCTTAGCTTTAACTTGCCATTTCGAACATGAGAATAATGATGGCTTTCCACAGGGAGTGCTATGAGATTACTGAGGGTTGATGTGTTTTGAACACTTTGAAAAACCTGCATAAATACTAAATGTTACATGTGCTTTGCTGTTCATACACAAAAGCAATAGCGTCTTTGTTCTCACTAATCTGAATGATGTATTCTTTGAGGCTAATGCTGCTGCAAACATGAATTACAAGTGCTCTGAAATTAAGAGCTCAAAATAAATGCTGAAGTTGAGAATGATGTCACCTGATTTACTTGCTGATGAAGTATAGATGTGAGAGATATGTTATCATAACCTTATATGGCAAAAGAGAGGCAAGTAGACACAAGGTTCCTCTTCATACAGTAAACTGGAGGAGTCACCTTTAACCAGAGTTAATAGTCCAATTGCTTGTTGAAAGGTTTCTTTCAATGAAGAAGCCATTCATTAGGCAAAATCCATCAGACTAATATGTTAAGCTGTCACTGCTATTATGCTGGCTAAGCTGCTTGAAAAAATGCAGTTCCTGTGATTAAAAATGAAGTGTTATAACAGGGCTTTCAGGATTTTTCTTCAAGCAGGTCAGTCTTTCATATATATTGCTAAATAGCAAAATATCAGTTGGCTGTTACTAGTGGGTAATACCTAGACTGGGTAAAAGGCTTTCCTCTCATCTTGCCACCTCTGTGTGTCATTTCCAGGATCAAATTCTCCATCTATTTGTTGTATTTCCCACACATGAATCCTTCTTTGATGGTTCAGTCTTCCCTTCCCCACTTGCTAGACCATTTCTCTAAACAAAGTCTATATCCAGGCATGCCCAACCAGACTCCACCTGAATCCAAGTCTCAGACTTTGCTGTATGACTCACCCTTATGCTCAGCAGGTCCTATGGGAATCACGAGAAGACACTTAATCAAGTTAGCTAAGACATTAAATGGTCAGTAGGCTCTCCTTTGATGCTACTTGCACCTTCTCCCCTTGAATCCCCCCCCCCATTTGATGACCATTCTTTGTCTCTAAGGTAATGATGAAGAGCCAAGGTCATATCTAGCTGTGAGAAACTGAGGGAATTCCTTTGTGAATACCCTCAAACATTAAGGTTCCTAATATGTTAAAATAACTCACTCTGATCAGTTTGAGTTAGTACAGTCTATACTTTGTTTTATTTTAAACTTCAGCTGACAATTTCTGAAGGCTCTCTGCTGGATTCTTTAATAAGTGTATTGAATTGAGTATTGAAATGGAACCATAGTAGATTGATAAGATAGTGGTGTGGACCTCTTTTCTCTTCTGCCCATATAAGAAATACCTCTGTGGAAAGAGTTATTTAGCCAGCTGAGACAAGATATGTGTAAATACTTCTAGTGTGCACATAGAAAAAGTTACTTAGCAAACTTTGTAGATTGCCATCATTGTATCACCCTCACATGTAAGTCTTTTCTTTCTGTTCCTACCAGTAACAAGATAACAAGGGTAGCATGAGTTCCCTAATGTTACACTTGCTAAGGTGAGGGGGAGCTTAAATCCCATAAAATTATTCTAACCAAAGGATCACTTACTTGATTTCCCAGTTACTGATCAAAGATGGCATCAGAAACAGTGCCTTGTTTTTGGCGGAATCAGTTATCTGGGTTTCCCAGTTATTGACCAGAGATGTCATTAGACTATCTCCAGCTGCTGTCTGCTAGGAACCCAGTCTTTGTTAAAAGCATCTTTGGCAGAGGGTCCCCTTTCTGAAGTTACAACCAAATCATCAGTAAGATGTGCTACCAAGCTCTCTCCAGGTGTTATTGTGTATATTCCCTGACTCTTAAGTATAAAAAGTTGGCAAAAGCTTCCAGACAGCTTGACTCTCTGTAGAGACCCAAAATCCTAAGAAGGTTCAGGGGTCCATCTTCCATTCTTGGGGTTCATGGCAAGGTGAAGGGGATTGGTATATCTTTGTTTCTCTATAACTTTCTTAATATTGATTCAATATCCTTCTTGGTATTTCACCCTAGATTAAGCCTATTATCTCTGAGTTCTAAATAATCGAGTGGTTCCCATCTGGTCATGGGTGGCAACACAAATTAGAAACTGGAATTGATTTCCCCACCCTCTCCAGCTTGGTGAGTGGTCTTTGTACACATGTCCCAGACTGGATGTACATGTTTACCTAATTTTTAAAAGAAAAGGAATTCTTTGAAACAGAGCCAGCCTTCCTCAGAAGATGCAATCGAAAGGCTGAATCATCACGTGCTTAGACTGAGGTTTAGCAGTTGTTTTAAATCACAGGAGTGGTGGCAGCGGATCTCCCAGAGCAGCAAGTAACAAATGGGGTTCTGGCAGCCTGTCCTAGCAGGGCTATTACAGCTATTTGAGGCATGTGACTGCAATAAATCACTGTCATACTCATCAGGTTTTCTGTGGAGCTCTTCCTTGCTAAAATTAAGGGCTTGTAAACCTCAGTCTACCTGCTGCTTTCTTTATTGTTTGGATTATGATGCCCCTTGAATGTATTCGGTGTACCTACGGATTGGTAGAATCTAAAGGCATTAGCATTTCTAGTTGACTGTCTGCATAGATGGGAGCCTCCTGAATCATTCAGGAAAAGGGAAAGAAGAATACAGAACTTAGCAGATTCTAAGTTCTCACCTGTTTCTGGTCATGCTTGCACTGTGAGTCTAAGTTTGCAAAGCTTTGGAAAAACAACATCAACAACAACCTTGCACTCCTCTCACAGAGGACCTAATCACAGAATGAATATAAAATTACCTTTCCTCTAGCATTAACATCTTATACCAGGGGCAGCAGAAATAAGAAACCTGCAACTTCTAGAGTTCCTTTTGTGTAGGGTAGAGTAATCAGGTATAGCAACAAAAGTAGTTCTGTGTTCTTGGCCTTGACCCCACAATGATACTTTGACACTAGCTCTACCCTTGACTTCTAGGGTTGAATGTGAAAGACTTCATAAAACAATTTACTTATGAACAACTGTTTACATGTACATGTTTTGTATGAATGAGCTGAATAGGAACCTATATGGACAGGGGAAAGTCCACAGTCTGCTTCCACTGTTACTTGTAATGTGGGAATAAGTCATTATCAGACTCTAGAACTGACTTTTGAAACATCTGTCCACGAGTAGTTCTTAGGTAAAATGGGAAAGGAGTGGACCTCTGCTGCCCAAGGTCATAAGTGTCTCCAGATCCATCGTTCTGTGACTCCCAAAGACCTTTGAGAATGATTACTGAAACCTGGTGGTAGTTTCTTGCCATTTTGAACGGGAAATATATGAAAACTAGTATTCATGTTTTAAAAATCTGAAACAGGGTAGTGGACAGGAAAAAATAGAAAAATTCAGCTGTACTGATATACAGGTAGTCCTCATTCAGTGACCACTCTTCAGCGAAATTACGATGGTGCTAAATGAGGGGACTTAGGACTGTTACTTGCAGTTGTGGCTGTTGCAGCATCCCCATGGTCATGTGATCCCAATTTGGGCGCTTGGCAACTGGCTTGCAATTATGACAGTTGCAGTGTCCCACAGTCACATAAACGCCATTTACGATCTTCACTGCTGGCTTCCAACAAACATAGTCAGTGGGGGAACTGGCAGGAGGTCACAAATGGGATGCTGCAACCATGTGGTATTCACCTAACAATGGCAACTGGAACTGCCGCAACTGCCATCATAAGTTGCTGCAGTCACGTAACATTGTGCTTTATGACCACAGCACTTAGCGATGGAGTTGCTGGTCCAAATTACCATAGTTAAGTGAGGACTAATTGTATGTGAAATACATCTGCCCATGGTGAGCTTGATTTCATCCCCCAAAATCACATGCAACCCTCTGCTATCAAAGGGTTGACGCTCTTGAACTATTAAACTAAATATTAATAAATAGCACTGTTGTTGTAACATACATTAACAAATAGCACAATACTTGTATTAGTCAATTTGCTTTTCAGACACAAATTTCTGCTAAACTTTTTGCATAGGTAATAAATTCCCAGGCAACCATGCATCATCAGATAATAGAATGAAAGCATTTGATGAAACTAAAAATTAATCCAATATTTGTGTGTGTGTGTTAAACCAAAGAATTTACAGCTTGGATTTGACTGTTGAATTAACATGTTTTGTGGCCTTGTGAAATACATTAAACCATAAACTAACCAAACAGGTTGGATTTGCACAACATGCTAAGTTACCAAAATAAACCCTAATCAAGGTGAAAACTAAGCAAGCTTCACTAGCACAAATGCAGCCATTAGGTCTTTAACCAACCCAATTGTGTGTATTGTGCAAAACAGTCACAAAATTGTAGGATGGAGAAAGAAAGAGTAGATAAGAGATAAAAGCAAATATTAATTGCCTCTTTTGGTGCAGTGGCATAAATAAAACACTGTATATTATTGATGTTCAAGAATTTCTGTTGTAGGTCAAGTCTGGGTTCAGTTACAAAGCCTAAATATGGCTTATTTCTATATTGACCATAGTAGGCACTATGGTTGCAGAAGTCTTCAAATGTATGATGTTGTACTTTAGTTAAACATTTTGATTGTGATCTATTTCTTCATTTCTGCAGGATCTCACAGATGGACAATTTGAGGAAAATTTGAGCCTGTTGAACTTGAAGGAAGGTGTGGATTACTATCATTTTAATTGATGAGTGTGGTATATTGGCAAGCCTTTCATCATGAAACATATTAGAGGAGATACAATACTATTCTAAATACTAAGACTCATGACTCTCAACAGTTTGTTTTCTCCATAATTCCTCTCTCAAAAGAAATATTAATAAAACAAATATTAATACATGCAAATGTTAAAATGTTATCTCCAGTCATAAAAGTCAGGTAGTACAACAGTAAAGCTAATTGAATCGAAGATTAGATAGTTAAGAGTCATCTCCACAGCAGGGAGATGGCAGATAGGGCTCTGCCAACATGAAAGCAACCAGCTCATCTAAGAAAAGTCCTTCCGAAATCAAATCCAGAAGGCAGCACTGGCAAACCACTTCAGTATTATTCCCAAGAAAATGATATTGATGTGCATTTAACATTTTGACAAGTTTAGATGCCACTTGGCGAGACTCGGAAAGCACACCTTTGGTTACTGGGAAGAGCATCAAGCTTGCACAAATGGATTAAGGGATGAGAATGGTGGAAGAGCTACACATGATTACAAGAGGCAAATCAACATGGAGACAAATTCAACTAATGGCACCTATTTGAATTGTTTTCTACTTTGCCTGTTAGTATCTGGAGTAGTTCCTTAGAGTAGTCAATCCATCTTTTTTTGCAACCCACAAAACTTCTCAAAATGCTGCAGCAGAATTTTAGTTACAATGTAGCAGAACAAGAATGTTCAAATTAAAAATAAACGCTGTGTGTGCATGATGCTTAATACACCTGCAAAAAAAAAGATGCTCTTCTTCAAACACACCCCAAGCATCTGCCTTGCCCTCGCTTAACATCATGTCTTAATAACATCCACCGTAACCCTTATCATCTTTATTCGGTCATTGACCAATAAAAATAGATACAATAAAACAGACAACAATATTACCCCTTTCAT